CAATTTGTGTTTTCTCTCAGTTCTTCATGTTATGTGGATTTACTTCAAATAAATATTTTTTATTTATATGACAAGTATATTTACATAAGTATTTTCTCCATATGTATGTATATTTTGAAAAAATCGTTTAAGATAATTAGGATTTCCATTGAAGAAAATAAATTTTTTAAAGAGTAGAAAGCTTGCTAGCTTATTAAGAGAATATATTTTACATTCTAAAGATCTCAATTCAAAGAAATACAGGAATGTGTGTGCAAAAAGTTTGTGTTTACTACTAGACTGCAAGGCTGTTCCAAGTTACGCTCATCAGAGAAAATGTGTGTGTGTGCGTGTATGTGCATCCTCGTTTTTGATAATTAAATCTTTTATGAAGTTGTACTCATAGTTAATAAGGGCTTTTGTCGTTGCAGTTCTTTAATTTATAGTTTAAGATGGATATTAAACATAAACTCTCTTTAGATACAAGTTATCACCATTTATTAACTTTTTTAAAATATAGCAATCCATGTATATGCATTTACTATCTAAACATCAACAGTAATTTAGCTTTGGGATTAAACTACTTGTTTAGAGTGACTCCTACTGGGGAGTTAAAAACTCCAATTGTTTAGCTCCTAAATAAACTCAGTAATACGTTCTTTTTTCAGTGGATAAGGGTAGCTTAGATAACCTCCTTTCCCTGATTTGGCAAAATTTACTTTACGTTTAAATATGAGAGCATAGACTTTGATACTAAAGCATCAACAGAAATTATATTTCAAGTACATACATGCTGCTCATGCCAGTAGAGGTATGTGCTCTAAAAAGTTGTGTGAGTTGATAGCTTTGCTCAGTAGAGAAGACTTTAGCATGGTATTATGGTTTTATAATTTTTTTCCCTTTCAGTAGACTTCTGTTACCTAAGTCTGTTTTTGGTGGAGATTGTTTTCCCACTGCTCTGTAAGGCACCCTTGCATAGAGGAAACAGAAGAGGAGGAACCAGGAAATGTACTCTCATTTGTAACATGCCACTGAGATGCTGAACTAGGTGTCCTCTCATTTACGACTCAGAAGAAGTGCTTGTGTGAGGATGAGGGAACTAAAACCCAGACCTATAAGATGACTTGGCCACTGCCACACTGCTATAGAGTAGCAGGTTTGTGTTCTCATACAGACAGGTATGACCCTCAGGTTTAAGACCTTGGTATTTTATAACTTTGCTCTATCTTTAGAGTAGGAGTGATAATACCTATCACCAGGTACTATTATGAAGATTAAACGAGTGTAGGCAATTGCATGTTCCTTAAATTGTATATCATGTACATGTATCAGTTCACTGTTTTATTACCAAGACTTTTGGATGGGGTGGATATTTACCTAAGGCAGTTATTTAATTTAGAGGTTTGCTTGTTCCCTGTATATCTCTGAATATCTGTTTTTATTGGGGTATGAAGTTTAGCTAATTCAGCTAGGCTAGTCAAAGGGAACAATATTATAGAACTAAGCAATTATTATATGAAAAAAAAAAGCTGGTCAGTGATTTAAACAGAAATATGTGGTTTTCAACTTTTACCAAGTTATATTCTGGGGGGACAGTGACATTCCCTCCATGTGATCATTCATTCATTCATTCATTCATTCATTCATTCATTCATTCAACTACTTTATTACCTGCCTTCTCCTGGACAGTGTGGAGGGTAAGCTGTGCGTGTGTGCGCCTGTGCGCGCATTTGGTTTATTTTGACTTTGCAGTAACTGTGATGTAGTCATTATTCAGGAAAAAGGTGGTACTTACTTTAATGAGATCTGTGTTTGGAAGTAGATAGTTCAGTCCCTTGCCCTGTAATAGTTTGGCGTCTTATTGTTTAACATGTGTATGATTACCCCTACTTCACAATTAGAACATTTGTCTTGAGTCCTATTTTTAAATTTTATTCCTCCATGTGGTCAGGTCGCTGAGGGCAAGGGAAGTGTTGTATATGTCACTGAACCCTGTGCATGTCCCAGGGTGGCCCAAGGTTCCTCACTCGAGTGGTGTAGAGTTTGAGTATTTACTTACCCTTTCGTTCAGTCATTCAGCAAGTTTTTATTGAACGTCTATCCTTGGAGGTGCATTGGAGATTTCTGGTCAGATATCGCCCAAATTTCTCCTGACAACTCTAGGTATGTGTTCCCAGTTTCACCTCAAATTATATGTCAAGGACTTTTTTAGAAAATCACGAACTGTAAACTTTGGCGTATAGAACAAAGTAAGAATAAAGTGGATGAGTTTTAAGTGTCCAGTACTTCGAAGCAATAGTTATACTGGTAAGAATTTTTTTTCTCAAAGGGGACAGAAAAAACACGTTACCACACTGTCCTCACTGATGTTTGTATCTAACCGCCAGCAAGAGTGCCGGCTTACTCTTGTGTGTGCCTACCCTCAGTCCTTATCCTTTCAGTGATAACAAGGGACTCTTTGCCTAGCTACTGCTAGTTAGGTATCTTGCCCATTTACATGCTGATTAAACAACAGATCAGAACAGAATCCCTTAAAAATTGGCTGCCATGATTAAGATGTCTGTTAAAATTATTATAAAACATGGCTTTATGCACATAGCTTCAGTTGTTCTTCTACTTCTGCGCTAACTCTCCACGCATCACACTAAAATTTTATCATAGGTGGTATTTCTGTCACAGAGAAAACTTCAAAGTCTGAGTTTGCAGAAATGTCTCAGCTTACAAGCCACTGACTTGAGCTCTGTGATTGAAATATACTCCAAGGTCAGCAAACCAAAGCCTGAATGAACATCACTAGATGGTATGTTTAGTGTCTCACCTTCAAAGAAGTGTGTCTTTATTAATCATTGCATATTTGTACTCTTGAAATTTCATACTCATTTTCATTAGTTAACGAAACCTGGAAGCTTAATGTTCTTGTCCTG